TCTGGATGTGTTCCTGCAGGATTCTCGCGGGCTGAACACAGGGCTGCATTTGCGTTTTCTTTCCTCTGCCCTGCGCTGCGTTTGGTGCATCCTCCCTGGGAAAGCTAGCGTTTTGCTGTTAGGTTTTCTGGTAGGCCTCCGTTGTTCGCTGTTGCGAGGACATGCTGTGCAGGGCCGTCCTGTGCCAGTGTCTGTGCCTGTGCCACCGCCCCTGCTGACCAGTCGAGCAGCCTCTGCGTCTGCCGCGGCGTGGGGCGCACGGCTAATGCGTGCTGCGCTTCTCTCCAGCATCCGGGAAATCGCTCAGTCGCACCGCGACATGGAGCAGGAGCTTGCGCATGCCGTCAACGCCAGCTCCAAGGCCATGGACCGTGTGTACGGCAAGCCCAGAGCGTACGCGTCCGAGGTACGTGGTGTTTCCTCTGGCCCCTGGTCCCTAGAGTCTGGCCTCCCACGAGTTTCTATGTTTCGGTTTCTCCTAGGGGCTAAACTGCAGCTTTGTCTTGGAAATGGTGACTAATGTCAGAGCTCTGCGCAGCGAGACGGAGCTGCTGCTGGCGGGGAAGATGGCCCTGGTATGTTGATGCTGGCCAGCCGCCGTGGCTGTGGCCGTGGCTGGCGCCTTTGTCCCGGGGTGCTGGGCACTGAGTGTGGTTTAGTTCAGGGTTCCTACCTTATGGAAAGAGCCTCCGAGGCCCTTGGCGTGGGTGCGGGGCTGGGGCAGAACGTGTCTGTCCCGTGCTGCTGCGCCAGCGCCCGCGCCCTGGGGGCGGTCGCGTCACACCCCTCCCAGCACGCCTGAGCGTGGGGCAGGAGCAGGGCCTGCCCTTGCTCACCGGCGTCAGTCTGGCCCTGTAGGGCTTGTTGAGGAGAGGACATTCTGGGCTGGGCCCCTGGGGGGCTTCGTCATTGGGGAGTTGTGGGGCACGCTGGGGGCCTCGGCCTGGCGTGGCTGGCCCCGGTGCCTCCACGCACGCAGCCGCAGTGCTGTCTCCCTCCCCCAGCAGCAGTTGGACCCCCCGCAGAAGGAGCGGCTGGCGGCTGCCCTCGCCGAGATGGACCGGCAGCTCAGGAAGCTGGCGGACACGCCCGGCCTCGGCCAGCCCACAGAGCCCGGCTACGAGGAGGTGCGTGTGCGGCCCGCCTCGGGACGGACGTGGCGCAGGCCTGAGACTTCCCCGGAAGGCTTTGAGTGGGGAGAGAGGAGCACGCAGGAAGGAGGGGGCCTCAACGGGGGAGAGAAGGTGGTGCGCGCCCGCTGTCTACACTCAGTGTAGAGATGGGGCTGTGGACATGGAATGGGTGTGTCCGCCCCCCCTGCCCCACGGTGACAGCCAGTCCTCCAGGACACACCCCACAGCTGTGCCCTGGTGAGCAGGTGGAAGGGGCAGGAGAGGCCATGGCTGGCCAAGGCCAAGCTGGACTGGGGGAGCTGGGCGGGGCCTCTGCTGGCTGGCACAGGGAGGGCGGGGCGGCAGTAGGGAGCAAGCTCTTCCTGGGTTACTTGGACATGGTTTGGCAACCACGAACCTCTGTGGCTTGACTCAGACCGTGTCACTGGCACGCAAAGTGCAGCGGCGTGGAGGTGGGAGGGAGCAGCGTGGCGCCAGGGGCCAGCAGGCTCCTCCACACAGGCTCAGTGTTCACTGTAAACGCGACACAGATGCTCTTCATCCTGAGCCGACTGTGTGAAGCACTCAACAGGTGTAGCCACCAGAGCCCTGTAATTCCAGATTAAGTTGCTCCTTCTAAAGTGGAAGAAAGTTAAAAACTCTGTTCTTGGGCTGGGAAGGTGGCTCAGTGGTAGAGCGCTTGTCTTGCATGCCTGAGGCCCTGGGTTCGATTCCTCAGCACCACATAAGCAA